GGCGGTGCGAAACGTTCCAAGTAGGGAAGGGACCACGAGGACGCGAAAAAGTGCGCGGCAAAGACGAAGGAGGGACGGACGCTGAGGCAAGGCCGTTCTTTGACCCGTAACGTGGTCTGCTCGGCGCCAATTTTTCGGCAGGAACCGGTCTCGGGCCCCTAGCATTTTTACCGGCAAACCACTACCATGGTTTCGTCGAGAAACCGACACCGACACCTGCCTTTTGCCAATATATCGTTACGCGCTGCAACCGCGTCCTCGTCGAAACGCTCGTTAACTATTAGCAAATCGAGTTTTGTTTATTTCTTTGCTTGTTTCTCGATTCGACCATTTGTTTACGTTCGAAAAGAAAAAGCTTTTAGCTGGAACGTCGGCAAAAAGGAACCGGTAAGCTCGTAAGCCTACGGTAAAAAACACATCGAGCAGTTGTCGAACGTATCTCATTTTCGAAAACACTAAATGCATTATAGCGCCGGTAGTCATCGTCGCTCGTAAAATGAAACAGGAATCCTTCCAAACTAGCAAAGAACTCTGCACGAGGTAATGAAAGATTGCGCGATCGCGTGATTTATTACCGCAACCGGCAATACGGTATTCGCAACTTGGAATGCTCTAACGCGTTAGAAACTGAATAGTTAATAAAATTATTATCTCGTAAACTGTACACTGTGATCGTATGTATTCGGTTCACGGTACAAAAGCGTGACATACTGATAGATTCCAAACGATGTACTAAAAAGTGTATGTTAAGCGAACCGTATAAAGCGCTTTCGAAAAGATTTTAAAAACTGTAGTGAAAATTTGTTTGCAAATCCAGCTGTTGGAAGCGTATTGTTATTTGCTAAAATTGCTGGCGTGAAAATAACAAAGGAATTTTCCTGCAGAAGCGTTCTAACCAACAGAACGCGAAAATACATATGCAGGTACTACACAGTCAGGCTTTCTATCATTACTTAATCCGTCCGGTGTTGAGGCAAGCTTGTTTAAACCATCAACGAAATAATAAACCAGCCGCTGGTACGGATACGTGTCTGATATATTATAGCGTGAAACGATTTTTAAAGAAAAATGCAAAACGCCGAATAGCATCGTGTGAATGCAGATATTCCGTAAAGCATCGTTGAATACCAAGATCGAAATTTTTCGTGCTCTCGATCGGTAGTAAGAGAGTTACATAAAGAGCACGGTTTTCTCGGTTTGCCATTACGGATCGTAAGGCCCTCCTAAGCCGGATGCATAGGCGCACGCGTCGCTTCTATCTGGGCCTTCCATCTCTCTGTTCGCCCCTCTCTCCCTTCCCTAGATTATTCCCCGTTGTTCACGGTGTGCACGTGTTTTCGTAGAAACGTGGTGTTCGTTCGTTGTGTGCGCGATGCACCTGTGTGGAACACCCGTGCAGTCGGACACGACTAGGCTCATCGATCTTTCCTGTCCTCCGTTTTCTCGCTTTTACCTCGCCACGACCGTCGTGTGCCCTGTCCGCTGGCGCAGAGTTACGGGGAAAAAGCACACGATGCGCCCGCAATCGCGCTTCCATAATCCATATTAAACGATAACCCGTTGTACGATCGAACGATCAACTTTCTAACAACCGTAAAACCAGGTTTTTCTCTTACTCCTGAGTTCCATTACGGACGAAGCGATATCGTGTCTGCCTTGTCAAATTTAAACGCGAAACTTTACATACCAAGCAACGAACTTGTACAACTCGTTTGCAACGATGACGAAAAGCACCGGTGATTTGTTGCGGATCGGATCGAAGCGAAACCACGACCTCTAGACTGTTAAGGGTATCTCATTGTGAGGCTCGACGATTGTACGAAAAAGCACGTTATTCAATGTAGTGAGTAACGAACAAACTATTCGATTGCGCAACCAGTGGCAGAGCACAGGCGCCAATCTCGATTATCAAGGATTTCGGCGAAGCGCCAAATAAATCGACTCCCGACGCTGCAACCTTCGAGTATAGGCCATTGAACGGAGACTACGTTCTTCGATAACGCGACGAGTTTCGTTCGCGTGACTTGCACAAAACTTGACAAGACGCTACGACTACCTATGTATCTCGTGTTTACGTGTCCTCCTATTCCGCTTCGTTAACAAAAAACTATAGCGCCATAGTAGAAAAAGATATATTCGAAAACATCGACTCGATCTACTGTGTAACTTTCATAATCGAACAGGAACGCATTACGTTTGTCCGTTTCGAAAAATAACAGAGTCGCGAAACAAAGTATCCATGTACTTGCAGACGGTGAAACGTTCTCATATTCTATCATTTCGTTAGTGTAATAACTCCTTTTGTTCTTTCGAATTCAAGGCTACGTTTCAGCACCGCAGCAATTCACTCTGACACATCGCTGTCTCCTTAATTGTTTTTTCTACAGAAGGAATTTATTGTTCTCGAGCAATCGCGATATCTGTCCTCGAATAGATCGCGTTTCCCCTGGTGATTGACAAATCAGATTAAGTCGGATTAACCAGCGAGAAATTTGCATGGAATTACTGGAACCGTGTGACTCTGGCACATGACGCATGGACACTCTGTTTCGGGCATCCACTTGTTGCGTGGATCGCTAAGCGTTGCTTAATACACGACGGACTAGACTCGATCGTTTCTCGCTATCGTATCGAAATAACGCATCGTTTCGACCGTGGACGATCAAGGCGAAACCGAGATCGTTGTTTCCGCGTATCAACGAGCCGCGTATCCTCTGTATCGATACGAATACGCAGCGATGATACGGGAAGAAATTACATACCGCTGTAACGTATCGTATGACCGAACGATACGCAACACCAACACGATACGAGAATAGGCAACAAGTAGATAGACCGGACTTTACAGGTGCATAGTATTCTATTCCCGATATGTAACATGGTACTCTTATTACGTTCGAATAATTGCTCGTCCGAATGCTCTTTCCGTTACAAACTCATTAATATGCTGGACAAAATGTGAAAAATCTTGGAAATCGAACGATAGGCGGTGCGGGTTGTTATACAAGTTCAGAAAAGAAACGGTTATGCTGATTGTTTAAAGGTGGGGATAATGGACACTAGGGAGCGTCGATTGAAAATTGCTGGGTCTCCTTCAACCGCTCCGTCGTTGCAATCGTTCGTAAGCGATAACCATGTACATATAATGACGCTGCGCTGGGCCGCGTGCGTATGATGTCGGAGCGGTTACAGGTGGAAGAAACGCGCGGGTTTCGCAAGTCCCGGGATCTCGGACGATCGTGGATGGCTTGGATACGCTTCGCGCGAACAGTCTGCCTCTAACTTGCGCGGGAATTGCGGAAACATTTCATTAAACGGGGCAATACGGGATGATGAAACCATTGAAGAGCACATTGTATACAATTATTATTGCTGCGAAAGATGTTATCGATATAATGGATCCAATTAAATAAGTTAGAGAAACATTAAATGTACACGCTTAACGATAGATAGCTAACTGCCTATTAATTTACACGTTATCTGTGTTTACTTGATAGCAAAAACATTATCGCGTTCTGCGATTTCGCTGAACTTTGACACGCGATTAAAAAGATTCTATCTGGCGGGGGATGTAAGAACGTTGTTACTGAACTGTTCAAGTTTAAGTACAAGCACGTTATCGGCTCGTGGCAGCCTCGTAAAGCTTGGTGATAGGTCGTAAACGAGCGTTGCAGCGCGAGTCTTTTGTCGAAATTTTCAAACGCGCGCGTCACAGTCTAGTTCACCGCGTCGCTCGAGAGATCGAGGATAATCGCGCGACAACCACCGCAGTCTTCCCAGCCTCTTTGTCATTCCCTCGTAATGATATTCCACTTTGTTAACGGCTGGTACAAAACTCGGTAGCCATGATCCGTTTCCACGCATCGGTGCACGCAGCACCGTGGCAGCGCAGCGTCGTCGTCGTCAGTGTCACGCTGAAAATCCAACTAGTCGGACGCGAGGAAGATGATCCTGTGCACGCGAGATTCCCCCATTGGAATCTATTGCGAACGATCGCCTTAAATTTTCGAACCTTTGCTTCGATTCTCTCGCGAAGCGTTCCATCGATGCGACAAATTTCCATTTTTTTTACCATCGTCATGCATCTTTTACATAATACATAAATCGCTTCTCCTTGTTATTCTCTATATACACAAATATAAACGAAGGCCATCGAGTGTCCGGTGACACATGTTATACTTTTGCTTCGAATCGCTATTCAAATTCCATTCGCAGCATCTTTCGTAACGACAGTTTTTAATGTTTCTCATGAATATTTAATTACCGTATACCGTATAAAATGTGTATTTTCAAGAGCCTATTTATCACGAACTCTACAACGATACTATTATCCCCTTAAATTAAAGCAGTCCTTGATAATACGATACTAATACTAATTAAAATTCGCGCGATCGAAGGAATTAGATAAATGATGCTACTATTACGAAATGACTTTTTCGCGCGATTTGTCTAGACTTCGCGCGGCTACGATACTTTTTAGGACCAGAAGTCTAGTCGTTCGAAAGAATTCTCGAGGCTCGTCTGTCTGTACGATCGCTCGTGACCAGTCCATTCTTGACCCTGTTAAAGCCAACAGTGACTCGATGTCGAGATCTGATCCGGCGATATTCGAGGAATGAGCGCCCTTTGCCCGCATTGTTGTGTCTCCTTTTACGGTGAACCGTCAGACCTTTATTTTCATCGCGAAAAGTTCGCAACTTCTAAATTGACCAAGGTCCGTTCTCGAGGCTGTGCCGCGAATTCTTGAATCGCGAGGTCACAGAGAGAACTGGAGCACGATGATTCGCAATCACCAGAAGAATCGAAAGATTACTCGACCGGAACAATCGCGTTATTGTTACGATAGTCTCGATAAACTGTGTAGAGAGAAAAGGATGCAGCAGCAAAAAATGTTACGTTGTGGACTTACGTTGTTGTCGTCTGTGGAAATTTATAAAATATCTTGTTCGAGGTGATCATGGACAACGATGATAAGAATTGGAATCTTCGTCTGATTTCAGATTAGAGTACCGCTAAAAGGAATCTATCCAATTCGACCTAACGACGTCTCAGTGTTGATCACGTTAAGACACTTGACTGTCGGTATAAAGGGTCAACCGCCGATCATCGACGGCAATTTTCCACACGAGGTCAAAGTCGAAGAATCTACCTGGGTCATCGAGGACGGAAAAGTGCTACTACTTAACCTGGAAAAGGTAAGTCACGTTCGAGTAAGGAAACGCTGGTATGGAATTAAGTCTGTATACTGTAATTTTGATGGGAGCATATTCTTCGGTAATATTCGAGACAAGCATCTAACAGCAAGTGAAAATACTCCAAGAGATACCAGATGTTCTTAATAGAATAATTATATAATAATTAAATGTTTAATATTGTTAATTTACAAGCTAACAATTAGTAACAGCGTCCAACCCTGATAAACTCTACGTTAATCTCTATTTTGCAACGAGAAAGGTAAGAGCAATCGACTTTCCTCTCAGGTAAACAAAATGCAGTGGTGGGCGCATGTGGTGACCTGCGATCCGGAAATTAGCACGAAGAAAGTGAACCCTGAACCCAGCAAGCTGTCGGATCTCGACGGTGAAACCAGAGGTTTGGTGGAGAAGATGATGTACGACCAGAGACAAAAGGAGTTAGGCCTACCAACATCAGACGAGCAGAAGAGACAGGACGTTATTAAAAAGTACGAAGGAAAATTGGTGGGAAAATTCGTAAATTTTCCAGTCTATAGACATCTAGAAGCGATCCGTTTTATGTTCCAGGTTCATGGAGCAGCATCCTGAAATGGATTTCTCAAAATGCAAATTCAATTGAAACGGTCCGATCCAACGGAGAGTGTTCGTTCGGGTTGTCGTTATCCACTGGAAAAAAAAATACGAATATATCGAAGCACTGTCCGTGTCAGGAAAAATCCAGCTAAGCTCCTATTTTCCACGGTAAATTTCGTATAATTTAATAAAAAGTATAAAATAAAATAGATCGTTGGGCCGTGTAAACCTTTAATTTGTTGAAAATAAAGCTTTTCTCTTTGTCGTCGACTTCTTTATCTTATCGAGTTGTTGTATGGAACGGTCGTTTTTAATTTCATACAAGTCCTACCGATTTGGTTAGAGAGGACAAGTAAACGATGGGAATTTTAAAGAAAATATACAACGATCGGTTCGATAGCTCTAAAATAGATTCCTGTTAGATTGTTCTTAGCAACGTGAGTTTATGAATAATTGACTCGGAGCACAGCAATTGGACAGGAAGACGTACACGTGTCTGTAATTCGTTAAACAAACTCGTCAGTTTCCTTCATCACTCTGACAATCCAGCGAACATAATTCGACAGTCTGGCGTATATTCCGAACTTTCCCCGCTTTCCACATCCTTCGCCAAAACTGGTAATGCCGAAAATAGTCCACGGATGATCAGATTTTCGGGGATCTCGGCAAAGGAGCGGACCTCCGCTGTCTCCTGCGCACGAGTCCATTTTTCCGCGTCTATAACCAGCGCAGAACATGTTGTCCGTGATCGTGTAGTCCATGTATACGTCACGACACGCTTCCGCGGACACTATTGGTATCTGAAACAAAAAAATCAATCAGAAAATGTCTTATTTTAGCCGTTAAAGAGAAATTGAGAAACGACTAAACGTTGGACAGTAGCTTAAGAATTAAGTTTAATTTAACTACTAGAATAACGGCGAGGGGACTCGAAAACCAACTAACAAAAAACATCACCCAACTGTGTAGCTGTAAGATACGAAGCCTCTAAAAAAATGGGTGATTAACGAGTTAAAGAATCGGGATGTTTCGAAAGATACGAATAAATAAATTCGAGTACCTGAGCCTGATGAAGAACATCGGTGCCAAAATGATCGGTGACTCGCGATTTTCCCCAACCAATGATGGTACATAGTTGATTAACAGGCAGAGGCTGGTTAGGAGCAGGAAGACAAACAATTCCTCTTGACGGAGACGGAGTCAATGCTATTGGAAGTCGCAGCATCGCTACGTCATTATCCACGGTATCGGCATCGTACTCAGGGTGTATCGTAACCGAATCCACCTAAATGAAAATCGAAAGTTGCAGTGTTAGCTACTCAGGATAACGAAGGTAATTTTATTATTCATTATATCGTGTACTTTATAATGTTCTACAGCATTGTAAAGTACTTGATAGAGATCTGACAAAAAAAAATTACTCTCAACTCCAACTCGGTGCCCTCTTTCACCGTCAAATCGTGTTCCCCAATGCGAACGTAAAGACGTTTTTTGATGCAATGAGCCGCAGTTAATACCCATCTCGACGAGATCAAAGTACCTCCACAAAAGGCCTCCTATAAAAATATCTCTTTCAGTGGGAAATGGAAAGAAGCATTATCGATCGTTGATGCATAATTTTTAAACGATAAAGAATTTACACGAAATCTGTTTAATACGGCGATCTGCCAAGGCCAACTTCCACGAATTGCCGGACGTCCACCAATGATCCTCATAAAATAAGACAATCGAGAATTCTTTTGAGTGCTCGGCAGTCCACACTTCCAAGAGTGTGCACTCTTCTCGGGAAGAAAACTGTCGACAGTGTTGGGATTCAACTCGAACTCGTCCAAAACTATGTCTGCGAGTAAATTATTCCGATATAGTTTTCTAGAAAAATTAGCAAGTTATTTGGATGTATTGTAAAAATCCTGATATTCACCGTCGCTATCTTCTTCTTGACTCTCCCGAATCTTTCGGTGTATCCATCTTTGGCAGAAACTACCCTCCACGTAGCAATATGCGGTCTCTCTTATTACGTCGCGCCCGCAGATTCCGGGTTTCTTGCACCACCTTTAACGATTTTATAGGAATTAAAAATACTGTGACAGTTGAGACGTGTACGATCGCTTAAATAGATGAAAACATTTTGAACATTTCACCTGTGACGTTGAGTGGTGCACAGCCTCGTGCAAGGTGACCATTTGCTCCATTTTCCATAATGGCCTACCGATTTTTCTTTGACATCCTTGCCTCTTCGTTCCCCTTGTCTAGGCTCAGCTTCCTTCTTAGGCAACTGATGTCATAGGAAACTTTTAAAAATAAGTTACTAGCACCGGGCCTTACTGGGGCTCGATGGATCTCATTTTTTATACGATTCCCTAGCCCCGGGACTCGAAAAATCTTAACACTTGTAGCGATTACGACGCGTTACCGCGTAGAGAAAGAAAATAAAATTCTCGGGTTTAAGCGTACCAAATATTAATTTACACTGTGACACCTTTGCCCGGTTCATAAAAATCGAACACAAATAATTGCGTTTAAAATCTCACCTGTACTACGTGGAATTTATCCTTTCGCCTATGTCCTCGCCTCTGTCGTTGCTTGCATCGTCTCCATCTACCCTTTCTGTTGTGTCGACAGGTACGTTCTTCCTACAGGATATTCGGTAAATTAATTATTTTTAAACATAAAAACTCAAAAAATGGGCAAAGATCGAAACGCACCCTGTGTATCGTGGATCCACATTTATTTTTCGCTCTACACCTTCGAACGCGATTCTGCGTGCAATGGCGGTCGCACACCGACCATTCGCTCCAGTTTGTAAAGAACAGTTTCGTGGATCCTGTCAACAAAAGAGTATCGTAATAATATATTATAATGATATTTCTTTTGTCGTTTCACATGCAATGTTATGTGGAAATTACAACCTGTTCTTTGTGTCGTATAGTATTCAAAGCTATCTAAAGTGGCTAACGAGAAATTCAAAAAGAAAAAAGAACTTACTGTTTTTCGACACATGTTCCGCAACAGAATCTTGAACGTTCACACGTATCCAGCTTGTATTATCGTACTCGTCGGTCACGAATGTTCTGTTCCCATTCTAAAATTTACATAAACCAAACTACAATTAATCACGAATATCCAAAGGGAAAACCAACGAAACGCGATTTTCGATATACAGGGTGTTCGGCCACTCCTGGGAAAAATTTTAATGGGAGATTATAGAGGCCAAAATAAGACGAAAATCGAGAATATCAATTTCTTGATTGAAGCTTCGTTAAAAAGTTATTGAAAAATTAAATTAAAAAATTTTAAATCATACTAAAAAAATTATATTTAGTTACAGGGGTCAATTAAAATCACTTTTGGTCATTACACATACCTCCGAAACCCTACGCATTTTCGAGAAAAAAATTCCTTACCGAAAATTTAATTAGGTGCCTTTCAACAAAAAAAAAACTTTCAAATCGTTCTGAAAAAATTATTTTCGTTTGCAAGGGTCGATTACAATCATTTTTGGTTATTACACATACCCTCGAATTCCTACGCGTTTTCGAGAAAAAAATTCAGGAAGGTGGACAAATATTTCGGCGAAAAAAAAAAATTACAAATTGTTTTGGAAAATTTATTTTCGGTTGCAAGGGTCAATTACAATCACTTTTGGCAAATATACATACCCTCGAAATCCTGCGCGTTTTCGAGAAAAAAATTCAGTACGGGCGGAACTTTAAACGTTAATAACTTCTTAACGAAACCTTCATCAACAAGTTGATATTCTTGATTTTCGTCTTATTTTGGCCTCTAGAATCTTCGATTAAAATTTTTCCCAGGTGTGACCGAACACCCTGTATAGTATAGAAAATATCACACGCGAATATAAAAATATCTGCAATCGAAAATGTTTATTTTTTACTAGTCGATATAATGCATGAACCTGAAATAGTTTTTAGATGCAGTTCCGACATCGAGCGACACATACGAGGAAAAGTAATTCTGTCGCAGAACGTATGTCCGTTATGTAAGCAAATCGCTGCAAAAACAATTTTAAAGTAACAAATACGAATCGAATTAACTACTACTTAGACCGTTGATGCGATCGAACGCGTTAACTGTTGCAACGACTTTCGAAATGCGTACGAACGGACGAAACACATCTTTTGGTAATTTCAAACTAAGAAATCCCTCGTACTTTGGTCAAGATAGTCTAGCTTCTTAACACGTTTTGTGATTGTACGTGTGAAAAGTCGATCGAAGAACTGAGTCATACTGGTTTAGAAGATCGAAAGAGCTGCCGATCAGTTCCATGAAATAAAAGTTTAACGATCCGTTTTGGTACGTGCAAATGTCCAGACGGCGACAAGAAGACCCCGTGGAAACGTAATCGGGTCTTCGGCGCAGATCGTTCGTCGTAAAGAGAGATCAGGGCAAAAACGGTCGGACAATTACTCGTTCTTAAGCAAAGAGTTAATAGAGCAGTGTTTGCTGACGGTGCTCGCGCTCGGTATCGTCCAGCATTCCCCAAGGCTGTAACGCTCAGCACGCAGCGCTAAACTCAATTTGCCGGCTCGTAAATGGCATCGCGACCTAACTACCGGCATCGCTAATCGCGCGTTACGCAATGTCACCGTGTCTGCGCACCTACGCGCCGTGTAATCGTAGTCAGAAAGCTCCCTTTAGGCCCTCGCATGGATTTTCGATCGACGATCAGAGTTGAGCTCCTCGATCGACCAAACTGCAACTGGCACGGATCACACCCTCCGTTCGACGGCCCACGTTCCTCATTATCCTAAACAATAGAGAAGCGAGACCCGGGACAGTTGCCTCATCGAGGCCGAGCGTCTTAAGTAATCCAACACTGAATGGACAATCGTACGATACCGAGTACATTATACAGGGAGGTTCGTCGCTAAATGGAACATCTAATTGTTTCTTTTAGCGTTACGTAGCGTTTGTACGTTTAATCGGAATTATTATACATGAAATAACGCCGAACCATCGAAAACTTAAGGACATCCGAGATTCGTGGCATTAGAAATTTGTCGCTTCCCTCGCGGATCGACGTCGAAAGGAAAAAAGCGAGAGTCGGCTCGGGGACAGGTAGAAGACGAGGAGAGGAATTTGTATGCGGTGTGCTGGACATGGCCAAACTAGGCTAAAGTCCGCGGTGCCTTCGTTCTCCCTGACGCGGGCACAAAAACCGCGTTCCGGGTAAAGGGCAAGTAATTTCGAGGGATGAAGACGGAGAGGAGGTATCGGTTGGTCGTCGAAGATGTCGGATAAAAAGCTGGTACCGGTCTGCAGGGAGACAGATTTCGAAAAGTTTTACCAAAGGTAGGACGAACGTTACGGCGGATAAAAGTTGTGCATTCGACTTGCGCAGCGTTCCGAGAATTCTTGAGGGCCGTGCCGCAAATGATTCACTGGCATTACGTATGCAGGTTTAATACCGTTTCGCATTCAAATCGCTGCATCCCTGAACGGCACCCTACCAAGACACATTCCACCATTTATGCGCCATGTTCTGCACCTGTGCATGATTCTTTGTACTTTATAACTGTACTCGACTACAACGAGCATTTGTTTCGTGAAACGTTGTTTATTACCGAGAAAATCATGGTAAAGATAGACGCGCGTTGTAAGCCGGAAATCGGTAATATTTTTAATATTCGGTAGATAATTTAAGATCATGGGTGGCTCGTAGAATACTGTGACGAGAACAGAACTACTTTCGCCGATGCCTCGAAATGATAATTAAAAGACGAAAGAACCTCGTTTTACAAGCAACGAATAAAAGAAGAAATAAATTTTCGTCCGAGGCACCGAACGATGCAGTGGTCGCAAAGAAGGTCCGGTAAAAAGGGCCGGGTGTAAAAAAACGGATTGTCGTGTAGCCATGGAAAGAGGCAGCTTCCGAACCAACCGAGCAACCAACACGCCAAAGAAGATGGATAAGGTTCGGAAGCAATGACATTCGTTTCGCGAGCTGACGCCCCGACTATACCCTAGATGGTAGCGTGGTTGGAGCGTTCAACGTCCGAAAATGGCCGGAGATTTCTTCGCCGGTGGACTACCATGGATTTAATACAGGGACTCCTGGCCGATGGAACGCTCGCTATGGCGAGATCGCGGTCTGATTTATGTCCTCGTGCGAGCGATCCGAAGGCCAAGGTCTTCGTCCACCTACTATGGTCAGGATGACGTCTCGGGCCGCGGCGCGACATCGCGTAAATCGTGCTGCGTATGTTACATTCGTGAGAATTCCGCCAACGAATACTTACGCCGATCAGTTTACCATCGTTCGCTTTGCTTCCTAGCGCCTTGTTCTCCTATTCTTCCTCTATGGAACCAAACGTTTTACGATATTTCTCGGTGACTAATCTATGGTATTCGAGGTTCTTATCCCGCTAGCAAACATTGAGTCGCTATCGTTTAATTCGTTTCCAAAAACATTCCGCGGTCCTCGTTAAAGAACAGTAGTAATCATACGGTTAAGAGAACACCGGAAGGGCGACGCGAGTCCGTTTACGCTTATCTTATTCGCGACGATTCAACGAAACGATACTCGCTATGCGACGTTGGTTCTTTCCGCGAACGCACAGATCGTCTAACTAAAGAAACGTGCCTGATCGAGACGACCAACGATCGATCCCGTCGATCGTTTCAACCGTTCTTATTCAATTAGACAGAAAACTCCCAAGAGAATAGTGAGAGTTTCTCACGGTACATATTTTCCAGAAGCAAATTACTTTGTTTCGCTCTAAATAGAGTGGAAAATATACACGCCGTCCCAAAGATCTGTCCTCGGAATGATTCGTTTGATTTCTACGCTCGCTGCTACCGTGTTTCTCGATAACCCTAAACCACGCCACGGAACGCTTAAACGTGTTATATGTCGGAAGAACGTCGGTTGTACGAGACTCCCACGGAATTTATTGCAAGCCACGATAGCGTAGCGCGGTCGCTCCGTGTATCGTGTCCCCTGCAACTTTAACGCCTTTGTATATATACCTCGCTCTCTCTCGTGAAATATCTTAATGCCGTGATGAGATCATCGCGTGATTTACTGTCTCCCTTGTCCAATGAAGAGCACAACGCGATTGTTCGCCCACTCTAGTTGACTAATGAAACGTTTCCCCGCGGCTTGTACTTTCCAGTCCCGAGGTTTGCAAAACCGATGGTCAAAATTGGAATTGAAAACGTGATAGTTAAGTTTCTTAAAAAATTGCTCGATTTCGAAATAGGCATTCATCGTCCGTCAAATTTTTGTTTTTTTTTAAACGAAACACTTAAAATATTGCGACGTAGCTGTTAAAAAATGTACTAGAGCCATTGTTAACGTTGGGCATCGACAGGACCGTTGATTTAAAATCACGTTCGACGACGTAATGAGATGATAATTAATTCGTCGAATGCGACGCGCGTTCTTCTTGCACAGCGTTTACTCAATTTCCCTGGCGTTCCAGTACCGTTCAGAAACGAGACGTTGCTTGGCATCGCTTCGCTTGGTTTCCGAAAAAGGTGCTATTTCTGGTCGGGTATTAACGACGATTCTTAATTCGCGAGATTACAGTTCGAGTCGGGGATCTCGAACCGTGAAACCATAAAGCTAGCCGTTAGGGGGGACTCGTAGAGCAGCCATCGGGGGTAGTCACCTGGCGTGTTTCTTCAACGACGACCGTTAAACGGCGCCGTTTCTCTTTTTCTTGTTTCTGTTCGCGTGTACGCGTCCGACTTGCGTTTACGGTCGTGGTTATTTCCGGACCGGCGTCTTCATCGCCGTGCCACCGCTGCTTCCTATTCCGTTACTCTTAGACCGCGTTTCTCCCTATCGAATCATTCGATTAAGAAACTAGCATAGTCGTAGATTCGAAAATAAGGTCTCCGATTCGAGCGAGCACAGCAGACAGAACTACTTCGTTTAGAAAACACGCCATCCGATTCGCGGGAATCGTTAAATCGACGGAGCAGAAAACGAGATGTATTTAATACACAATATTAATGGGGGGCAGTTCTTTGTACGCGGTGCAAGTTATACCGGAATAACTTGTTCCGGTAGGTTCCCATTCCCCGTTGAACGATTGCTAAACCCCCAAGTAAAGGTACAATGTCACGTGTATTAGTCGCCGATAAATATTATACTTCTAGCCGCGCGTGGATGCCGCAAACTCTGTCGAATTTCGGAGCGATCAACCCTCGACTGAGAGCACCGAGGCTTTCCAAGCTGCGATTTACGTGCTACGAAAGGTGAATGGAATCGGTAGGACGCGCAGGAACCAGAAGAACTTTACGCGACCTTTTCCTCGTTCTCTCGCTCGCGTTCCCTTCCTTTTAACCGTCCGTGTTCGTACCCTCGTTGCGACAACTTTTTCCCCACCGCGAGGTTAACATACTTCCTGTCCTGCAACGGCTGTAGCTCGACGCGATAATCGTCACGATATCCGATATGAAGGTAATCGAGCTACCTCGCGAAGGAAAGAATCTCTTCGGGGTGCCAAAGGAACCAAACGCCAAACGATAAACAACCGTCTAACGCTGCCACCGTCTTTAGTTTAGAAAATCTACGATCTAAAATCATCGTATTATTTAGTTTTGCGTTCTCGATAACTTCTCGCAAAACGATGATTATCGCAATTATTAATCTTGGAAAAATCCGTTGCAGTTGACTCGCTTGTCATCTCCTCTGAATAGCGGTCAATTATTTTGGCGATCACGAGAGAGTCGAGCGCATCTCCGCGGACCTTGCGACAGGAAGTTTCTCCACGGATCGTCCAAGAAATCCGTGCACGGTTGCTTTCGAGTCCCCGGGGTCAGTCGCCATTACTACGCAACTAGAAACTTTCTTTCATCTCGACCATGTTTGCCAAAGGGCGTCGCTATTAATCAGAGAATGAGTTGCCCGTTCGTAAGAGCCGCGGAAAGCATCGGGACACGGCAGACCGGAAGTTACCTTCGATACATTCTTCTGCTCGTGTCTTTACGCTACTGGAAGAAACAATGGTCAGGATGGACGACGACGCGATCTCTTTTTGTTAACCGTATTGGTCGATTCTCTTCCGTCGCATACTACCGTTAACGATCGGGCGGGAATGGATTATTAATCGACGAACGTATAGGGGAAATACGTGTTGGGTAAAATTTTAAGTTTCTCAAGATGAACGTTGAAAAACAAAGAGTTCGAGAAACGGTACCGTTAATACGAAATATTTTGTCTGGTTGCAATCTTCGATTGTACACCAACCATGTCCTTGGAACATTCTGGAGGAACGAACTTTCGCGATCCCGGCTCGATCGTTGCCCATAAGCGAGACTTTACGATAGCGATATGTGTAATGTTACAAGAGAAAGGAAGAAGAATCTGCCCGCTGCTATCTGTGATTCCAGACCAAGAGATCGAACCATAAATTGATCAGTTACGCCAGATAAGAGAGAAATTCGAATAAATGCTTATCGATGCTCTATTCGATACCTGTTCTTCCGCATACAGCCCCTTACCGTCTTCGAGTTTAGCGCGTTTGATAACCAGGTGAGACCGATTCGCGGATTTACGGTCGAAAAGAGACGCGACGCGACGCGTTCCGTGCGCGAAAACATCACGATCCAGACAGAAACAACGTCCTAAATATAAATTCCGTCTGCCGTAGTCGCGAGAAGATATTATCGGGACGAAAAAGCTTGGTGTATGTGTCGAGCTCGAATGTTGATCTTTGATGTTTCGTGGGACTGTGGGTGGTAACCCGAGAACCGTAGCTGCGAGCTCTGAAGCCAGATTCTAATATTCCGTAACGGTTGATGAAACGAGACATTATCGTTAACGATGCAACACGGCTCAAAGCATAAATGCACATTTTTAGTTTCTCCGTTGGATACTCGTCCCGCGTGTCGTATATCTGTTCACCGAATTTGAGCAACGTATGCAAACTGCGCGTTTTTCAGCTACGTCGAGCTCGAGTCAGCGTCGAATGGTCACGCGCGCGTTTGAAATATACAAGTATCGATAGTACGGTACATTTAACGCGTTTAATATTCTGTTTCGTTCTACTACGCGGCTTTACGATCGTCGAGATCGAAAATCTCGCAATCGCGAAAAGAATTGTCGATATCGGTGTATCGAGTCGACGCGAAAATCTCTGGGTTGCACTTAGTCCCTGGAAAAAAATACAACTCTCGTCTATACGCACGCGAGGTATCCTGGCTTTAATTAAGAAGATTAATATGCATTCGTTACGCTACGTCGTTCCTGCGATTTGCAGAACATTTTTTTTTTGACGTTTGTTAATTACGCGTGCTCAATTACGCGTGCACGGTATGAAAACGATATTTTTGGATCGGATTTCCTCGCTGACAACGAAGCTAGTGAAACGTGGTCCGAGTTGGTACGGCAGTCGAAAGCTTTGCTCGGCGGTATGGTTTCTTTTCGATCGTCGTGGTATCGAATTCTGCATCGGACGCGTACAAAGATAGAAAAACGCGGGAGAATTTAGAAAGTACCTTGTGTCCCGAATACTAGGAATATCTAGATACCGATAGTCGCAAGAACGAAGGAATTCTTAGCGCGCGAGTATCTTCGATTATCAAAAAATCGACCGATCGAACTTGTTCGAGATAGATCTTGTCTTCCACTGTCTCGAAAACGTCCCCTTCGTACACGCCGCTCTTAGGACTCGAATAGCAAGATTAGAGGATGATCGAGGTTGGCCCTAACCAGGCAGGATCATCGACTGTGTAGCTTCATGTTTCGTACAGTACAATACGTCACCGAGGTAAGGTACTCACCGAGGTATGATTGACGCAGAGGACAGTTCCGATGGTCAGAAAGAGAAGTACGATGCGAAAAAATGCGTTCGGGCCTGGCAGGCGACCGATCATGCCCGGTAAGTCGATAACTCCCAGTGGGGGCAGCCGGCGTAGACAGTTGGTCGACGAAACGGGCCGATGCTCCTGTTGCGGATGCATCGCTTCATGATCGCGACGTGCCGCGTGCTCGTCCCTCCGTGGAACCTCGTCGACGAACCACGGTCAGCTTCGTTTTCACGATGCCTCTCGCTCGCTCCTCCTCTGCTCGTCTGCTCGTCTGCTCGTCTACGTTCGTCCCTCTGACTTCCTTCGGCCTCTTCGCGAGGAGGCGTGCGCGTGATTCTACGTGCGTGAACTCGCGAGCGCGTACGCACACCGCGCGGGTCAATAAATATGGCCGCGACTCTGCGCGAAGAATTTCAAACAACCGCGCCGTAAAACACCATCGGCGAAAGAACTCGGCTACGATTGATTCCCTCGATGACGATGATCGCGTGTCATCCGCGAGCCAACAGGAACCGGAGGCTTCAGGGCGATCGCTCGAGTCCCGCTCCTGGTTTCCTGCTGTTGATCCTCTGTAGCTGAAACCACCGATCAGGACCAGCCGTGCTATTAACGTTTTTCCAGACGTCTACATTCAGAATTCTACTATTATACTAGACTGTTACCGGCCGATGTTCTTTAAGAGAAGTTGTTACTATATTCTGGAGCTAATATCAGATTTTACCGAAACCGTTAATTAGAGGGAGCAAGGCTTCCCGTTCTCGAGCAAACTAATCCGAGTTTCGTCTATTCGGTCGAACGTATACTCGTACTCGCAAACTGATATTTCTTGACTCGCTTACGATCGCTTTGGTTCAACGATTCCACTCGCGAACGTAAAAGCGATCGAATCGATGAATCGGGCGAAAGTGGTTGAATGCGTAAAATTATGGTAGACCGATCGAGCGATAAAGAGAGAACCGAGTAGAACGCAGAAATGGCGAGGCACGTTCCATAGCGAAAAATCAGCAGAATATCGCGAACCTTCGCGCAATATACCAATATATGTACCTAGCTGCTGGAGTATACGTTACGCTGCAATTCTTTATGTAACACCGTGAAAGTGGATACGATTCACGACGTCTAGCATGTCTCTCCTGTTTCACCGAGAATCGGAGAATCGAGGTCTGGTCGGAACAAATCAAACTCCCATAGAGCTTGACTCCTTAAATAACGTAAAACGCTTACCCTGCCCGTTCTGTCCATGCTCCAGCTTTCCAAAGAAACGGATCGTTCCAAGTTTCGCCGCGCCAAGACAGATATTTATCGAGGCTGTTGGTTTCAAGACGACGGGCTCAGCTTTCTTCGGGCCGTTTGCCACGTTTTTATTTTTATTTTCTATCCGCTGCTATAGCCTGCGGAGCCTCGTGTTTGGAATCCAACGATCAACGACAAGAACTAGCACCGAGTAAATCTCGCGACGAGATCCCCCAAGGGAGTCGACCGCGCGCAACATCGAGAATCCTCCCTTCGAATGGCTCGCGGTCTGGGAGTTCTCGGTGTGATTAAAGCCGACGCTCGGCCATGGAACGCTCCGTTCTCCAGCCGGTGAAATCGTTCAAGTTGAAGTACAGCGAGCCAACGGCGTGCCAACGGCCGATATTTTTAGTCCTCCCTGCTTCCACCATCTGTCTTTGAGTTTGGGTTTCCTGGTCGTTTTAGACACGAGACGTCGCACCGTCGAGACGGCGCGGTTCGTTCTCGCTGTCTGAGCCGACGACGCGGACGAATCGGTACATATTACACCGAACGCTTCGCGTCCTCCAGTTAGACTCCATACTTTTCTTTCTCGACGTTTACAGAAAACACAACCGACTCTTTCACAAGATTCGTCCTCGAGAGTTTCCAAGCAAATTCTTACTCGCGAATCGTTCAATCGATCGATCGATTCTTCGTCCTTTCGTTCGAAAGGTTTGATCGATAGGGTATTCGCGCACAGTGACGCGAAACGATCGAATTTTTCCAATTTTCTCGGTAATTGTTCCGCGCGGAAGTGTCCAGAAATGTTTGTTCGGGGAAGATTGGGATCGATCGACGACCAGGAAGTCTGATTTCGATCGCGAAAGACCTGGCGAAGACTCTCGTAACAGAGCTTCTCGAGCACACGCACGTGGCTCCGAGCCGACTGACGAGATACACGCGCGAGGAGGAAGTATCAACAGAGGCTGAGAGGAGTGGCTACCATTCCGAACGGAAGTGGAGGGTGATTCTGCGGGAGTTGCAGTGGTGGGGTGCTCCCTGATAGGGGCTCTGTCGGTGGATATTTACACGGTCGACGAACAGACGACGCCTGTCCAAAAATGGACTTTTCTCAGCCGAAGCTTTGCTTTATCTCCGATAAGGAAAACGTATGCTCGCGTCAGAATCCGACGATCATACTACGACCGGATTGGCTCAAACATGAAACCGAACGAACAATCGCCGCCGTCGATGTTGCTAATGTTTTAGGACCGTCTGACGCGCACCTTACTACGTATTACCTGTGTTTTAATCTTCTTGCGTAACGTGATTGTTAGTGTCTTCGACGAAAGTGGAAGTATCGTTACGCTGCGTCTGGATATAGTAGAAACGATTTACATATTTCTTATGAAACATAACGCGTCGAATCGATGAAGCGACTTTTAACAGTCTGAAAGGAATGTACAAGGGAATTGTCCTGCTGCACGCAAACATTTCACTCTGGTAATTGGCCAAGGGTGCTAGGTTGTTCGTTATATCAATTTTACGCAACACGACGATTCTTCAACGCGGGCCACGTAATTTAGAAATCTACCCTTTCGTCAGCGGCACGATAGAAGAAGGATAGAGGATCGTTTGGAAGATTCGGTTAATCACACACACTGTTCCCTACCAGAGTACCTCTGCGGTCTGACCACGCCCAACCCTTCAAGAAGATTACACGAAATTACGATATGATTTTTAAGAAAAAAAGATTAAGCTTCCAGCGCGGTTCTCAAAACCCCTGATTTTATAGCAGAAACGAGAAGCGTTTCTTCTCTGATCTCTGGCTTCCAGGAACCTCGACACTCGCATCGAAATGTTAATCTATTCAAGGTTGTCGGGCTGAAAATCACAAACAATCCGTGTATACAGTAAAGAAAAGTATTTTTTTATACTCGTTTTCGATATCGCCGAGTCGTATTACCTGGTTGCGTTTTCGAGATGCCACGTTCTTCGAATAACCAGCCAATCGACACTTTTTTATGAATATAGAAGAAACGCGCAATTCCTTGCATATTACTACGTTGCAATTATTATTCACTGGGGCACCCATCCTCATAACAGAACCTCTAAGAAGTCTTGACGCGTGCACTTGGAGGATCGGTTCTACCGTTTCATTGAAACGGTGCCATTCAAAAGAGTAAGAATCTCATGGTTTCGGAATTAATTCCCATACGTACAACCGGCGAGACGAGATGGACGCGCGTCCCACTCGTAGACCCGTGTCCTTTTAAGTTAAAGGGATGGTAGGACGGTGAATGCCGCAGGAACCTAAAGGGACATCGGGCATAAATCAACGTCCATTCTCGCGAGAACGACAGAGAGCGGGAGGTAGACAGCAAAGAGACGCGAGCCGCGGCTTCTTCCAGTTACTTATGCTAATGCCGGCAAATCCATTTATTTATATTTACGTATAGCATTCAAATGTTTTCCCGGGGCCCGACTGTGACTCGTTCTGGTCACGGACCACCCGCAAAACCAAGTCGATTGCTGCTGCGAACCACGTGATTCCTGGGCCCCCGCCAGTGTTACCAGACAGCAGACCGGTGCCCGGACGAAACTGCCCCTCCATTTACGCACACTAATTTACAGCCAAATGTACGTGAGCTCTTGCACTTCGGACAGTCTCGGGGATTCGAAAAAACAGGCGAATCTAAGCATCGTGAGCCTTTCCTTCTTGCTCTCGAAACAGCTGAAATCCAACTTGCGTCAACCGACATACGATTTCGAGTCTCGACTGCCCAGGCATTTTTATTTTACGACCTATTACACCAGAAACGAGATACACAGAATACAGTTATTCGTTTGATTCCCTTACACGATGTACAGGATTTATTAACAATTTTATCCGATATTGGTCACCAATCTGCCATCTAGTAACACTGGGTCCCATTTTAACACTGATACGGAAATCAGTAAATGACCCGTTAACAAATGAAAAAAATGCTTATTAAATAAATCCGCGAGTTAATCCGTTTCGTATTAAATACGCTCGCAAACTTTATACATACTTGTTTTCATTAATGATCGTATCTATTACATATGTATAATGAATTAGAAATGGCAAAAGGAGACTCTGAAGCTTTGTTTGTTCGTAAAAACTACTTATTTATACAGAAACGTTTATAGAACGTGACATGAAATAGATAATAAATATACATGTTTTTAAGATTATATAACTCTTTAGAGGTGGAGGAGGATTATTATAAATATACACTGTGGATATTTCAAATAACAATAGTCGAGACTATTTTCAATTGAAATTGTTGCTAGATTATCAGGACAAAAATGTCATGTGCTTGTTATCTCCTCCAAATATAGTGCATCGTTGATATTTTAGTTGACTAATATTTTGTTCGTGATTTAGTTTTCAACTATTAAATTACAAGTGGATATTATCGAGTATAATGAAAAGCAAGAATTTGTTACGTATCGGGCGCGGTCCCGATTCAGTAACCATGTGACCCGAATGAAACCGAACATATACGAAATGCTCAGTAACGTAAAAAAACGGTGACGCTTCTAACGAGTACCACATTTATTTTCTCAGTTATTAATATGCATGATATAACAATTCTATATAACTTATTTGTGGGCGATCCTTACTGTGTACATGTAAACACGAGTATATATCAACAAACATTATACTTAATTTTTTTTTGACGTGGAAGAATGTGTATGCACGTACTAGGTATGTGTCAGCCCTGGCGCTCTCGACTCAGTGGCGTGGTCAATCGTAGGCGTGGGCATTTGAAGTAATTAAGCATTATATGTTAACACGAGTTATTTGGAATTCTCGTAGAGTGATCACTTGTTCCACATAAAATGGCCTCAGAAATAAGTTTGCGTGTTTTAGTGTCAGTATTAGCACTCCTCTGCTACATTGAACAAGGTAACCATTATGTTCGTTCTTCGAATAACCTTTTTTGAAGGATTCAAAACGATAAACAAAAGATAGTAATTAATCCTGTATGTTCTTACAGTTGATTCTATTAAGTGTTGGGTATGCAGATCAGATTCGGATCCAAAATGCGCTGATCCTTTTGATAATACCACTGTACCCATTACCAATTGCAAACAGGAACCAGACCTCGAACATTTGCCAGGCATAAGGCCTACAATGTGTCGCAAAATTCGCCAAAAAGGTATATGAATACATTACGTTTGAAGTAATTAAGATAATGTTTAATAGTTCTGCTTATGTTTTGGATTTTACCATTGTTCTTAGTTAATGGAATATGGAGGTATTTTCGTAGTTGTGCCTACATGGGTGAACCAGGTATCGCTGGTGACGAACGGTTTTGTCTTATGAGAACTGGAACTTATAACATATTTATGGAATATTGTACTTGTAATAGCAAAGATGGCTGTAATACAGCATCTAGCGATCAGGGAAGTTTAATAATGTCTATAACAGCTACAATAATATCGTTCTGGTATATGTTTGTTTATGCTTAACAATCTTAACCAAAGGTTATCTATATATATACGATAAGCTAAGGAGTACATATCTGAACATACATTTTTATGGTATAGAGATCTATTTGTACTTACTAGTGAGTTTTCTGACAATTTTATGATCCGAATTTCAGGCAATGAAAAGTTACAAATTAGATCTATATTACAGAATCTTATTTGAGAGCAATTTTATACTTTTGACTACTGTTTTTTATGAATGCGTAGATGCGTCTCTTTGTCCCTTATTAGAAAGTATTAAGAGGTTAGGAGACTATTTGTGAGACATTTTTAATGATTGTACAATACGACATTTTACTTTTTCTAGAGGTATTTTGCATCTGCATGTTGCGCGTCTTTATAGAAATATATTTTTATTAATATAAAATGGAACTTTGTAATATACTTAGTTATCAATTTATACTTGGCTAGTACAAAAGAATGTTAAAACGTCGATACGCTTGATCGACGTTAAGGTTAACACTTCGTAAATAAGACTGTCAATACCGTCCATTATAAATGTCTTGAACTTAGTATTAGTATAAAACCATGGCGTTCTTTATATTTTTATATGTACTTTGAGAAACCGTCGTTAGTCATTAAACGACACAAATAAAAAATATAGTATGCACAATTCCCGCGCGTGTACCGTTATGTATATGGAAAAAATAACGAATAAAGATAAATATTACCTTTATACGTATTAGGGTGGTCATTATTCTTCGATTTCAGAATTGTTCTGGTCGTACCCCTTGGAATAGTTTCGATATATTGAAAAATCACGGAACATTTGAGCTTGAACGTATAATAGGAAATTTTGAAGTTTTATATGCAAAATTAAATGATCATGTCTTGGTCACCCCTTCAGGATCGATACCAATTTGTTCACGTATCTGGTTAGTTAATCTTTACTGGTGTCCATTCATGTGCAATGGATCATTTATAAATCTATCGTTGCACGAGTCAGTTTAATCCATTTTTTTCAATAAATTGACGATTGAAAATGATTAATGGTAGGACAGGGAGAGACGTTAATTATATCGTATAGGAATTGTTTTTCTATGTATTGAAACTATTTTCGGCAACGAGGCGAAACAAATTCGCAAGAAAAATATTTTTATCACCTATAGGTAAGGATCATTGTAATGTGTACATATATGTATATAACAACAGTTGTATTGCATATAAAATATATCTTCGATATACAGATATGTGTGCTAATAACATCGTAAATACAAAATTTTTTTTGGTGTAACCGTTTTGATTTTACAAATATTTGTTAGTATAATCATTTATAGCAAAATACACATGTAATTACAATAGTATAAATAATTCTTTACAAAATTCCATTTTGATCGTGGAGCACTTGTAATTGGTCTATTTTAGAGTAGTTTGTAATATACATTAATATATATACTTTCGAACAAGCTTCGATAAAACTTGAATTAAAATAATGAGCAAAATTGATCGCTGTTAGTGCAGAAAGAATGTTGGAAGTGTTCGTAACTTAAAATATTAATTAATCCTGCTCGCGCAGTAAATACTTTTTTACTGTTTTCGTAAATTCTCTTACATACGAGAGTTATTTACTTACAGTCAATACGAAAAGAAAAATGATTTCGTTTTCCTGAAAAAGGATAAAAAGAATGCTATTCCATTTTTACCGTAAGTCGTGCCTTCACTTTTCAATTGGAAATTATCTCGTCAGAATTGTATCTAGCACGAAACGTCGTCTATCTATTTCGATCGGTCGATATATCAAATTCGCTAATGAGAAAAACGTAATTTTTGGATCATTCCCTAAATCCCTCATGTTTCATGTTGACAGGCACTTATATTTTACTGGACGGTTAGTGTTATGTAGATTCTTGGCAGATAGTTTGTTTTTCGTTTGCCTCGGAACCAAGGACGATTGAAATTTGTAGATATATATTTAATATATACATTGTAATGTATGAAATGCGTATGCGTGTAACTTGCATTAAAAAGAAATAAAAACGAAGAGTGAGAAGTTTGAATAAGAAAAACTGAGCAATATAAATTGTACGAAAGCAGCTTTATGCAAACAGCATATGTACTTGGTGTTCGTGGGTGTTCGGCTAAGTATTCTTTGGAATGGTACTGTCGACCAAATATTTATACTTTCCGTCATATACTATGCTCTAAAATATTCGTAATAGCCGTACGGATCGAAAATAGGCTCACAGGTGACGAGAACTCGAGTAAGCAACGAATCGAGGTGGTTCGTTTCTCGATATATCCGCTGTTCTTGATCTCATTCGAATGCCAACCATTTCGTTATCTGTTGTCCCGGTTTTGCTATAGCCTGTTTCCAGTGTTCACCGTAAGGTCCTGCTACGTCCGGCCCGATTACAAAATGTCCAACAGTTGTCTTTTTTCCTGAAACCGTTAAATCGCTTAGAAAAATCGAAATTCTCCATAATTTTCTCACAAACGACGCGATTTACCCATTTTATTCTTGGAGACGAATTTAATAACGAAGCTCGTGTCTTTTAGTGCTCCCTGGTATGGATTGTCCGCGACGACTCTCGCCATATCCGGTGGAAATTTCATCGACACGCACGGCTGGAAGCGATTGCTCTTCCAAAAGTGAGTAACCCTTCCATTGTCCACCACCGACATCTTGACGTACATTTGTCCCTTGAGAGCCTCGTGCTCGTGCATCGTCTGCAAAGAACATCTCAGACGATGCAGAGATAGAATTAATCGTTCGCTGCCTTCTTCTCGTTTGTCGTTCTTCTCTTGGCACAGAGACAATTCCAATTGACCCTTCTTGTTTTCCCTCTGCAAAAGAAAAAGTAATAGAAATTTGGGTTAGATGATTTAGAAAAATCGGACGGATTCCCATATTCCCTCGTTTCCTCGTTTAGAATATCTAATATTTACCCTCTCCTCGGCCCCGGAAATGCCACTGGCGATCGGTCTCAACGGTCTCCACATATCTCCCGTCGATGTATCGCTCGAGTGTTTTGGTTTGGCTGGTTTTGAAGTGAAGTTTTTCGGGTCCAGGGAAATGGTGGTCGCGCCAACGGTGCGTCTTTTATCGTACATTTTCCTCTCGGTGACCGTCGTAGTTTCTGGCTGCTTGTCGGACCCTTTGCCAAAGAATTGGCCGAACAGCTTGCTCTTTGTTGGTTCCTGACTCTCCGAAGAGCCTCCCTGACTATCCTTTTTCTTGTTTGCTTTCTTCGGAGATTCCTTTGTAGGGGACGAGGTTTTGTCCTTTTCCGCCTCCTTTTTGTCGGTCGCTATTAACGGCTTGTCCTCGAGAATCGCGTACAAAGTAGCTACAACGAATCTGGACCCATTGATCTCCTCCTCGACGACCTTCGTTTTGCCAAATTTCAGCTTGGTTTCTTTATGCAGAGGAAACGTGAATTCCTCGTTCCATTGCGGCCAAGACTCGTTCTTCGTCGTTGTCTCAAACTTGTCCTTTCCGGGTATCAGCTTCACCTGGAATAGAAGCGAATTACTTTCTTTCCTGGTATCGAGTTCTTTCGCGAGCATACAGTCGGTTGCGTGCTAGACGGTAACTATTCAGGTCAATCGTGAATATTTCACCAAAACGTAACTTTTTTCCATCTATGTAGAATCGTCGAACAAAATGACTTTGTTATTATTCGAACAATAATAATCTGAAGCTCGTTTTAATCGGTGCTATCACCGGGATTAGGAGTACGTTCTGCACACCCGTCGTTTTTTTGATAAGATCATAGTACGCGCGACATTGTCTCCAGAGATTGGCCGGTGAAGAGACATAATTAAAGCGTCGAACGTTCGCGCGGCGATTCCGTCGCGTTGCGTAAGAGGAGATAATGCGAATGATTGTGCAGGCACCGGGTCCCAATTATTGGCCGTTACCTTGACGACGTAGCTGTTGACTCGGGTGAAGCCAAAATTCTGTGGCAAGTGTCGGGCACCGAGCACAGTTACGTGCAGAGCCTTCTCGTTAACCGAATGAATGATTCTAATGCCCACTTCCGGTTCCAGATTCACAGTGCGATCCAACGGCGTGGACACAGTCTTTAGGCCCGTGTCGATAAAACTCTTGATCCTTGCGAGTGCCATGTTCGCGTTCTCGTTTCGAAAAATTGGTCGATGTTCGCTTTCCGATTACGAACAGATCATTCGGATAACAGAGATATCATCGATTCGCTATCTTTGCCGATGTTCGCTGCAAGCAGAGAAATAAATATTCGAAACTTGAGTCAGCTTCTGCGAACATAGGTAAACCATTAACGATACGCGCGAAAGCATCGATGCAGGTTCGTTATTGCGTTCAGGCGATAACAGTAACACGTATTTTCGGCGAGAATGCGCACCTGACACGACGCGCGTGTACGGTGTTTTTAGAGGATATCGCCGCGTTTCGCGATTATCACCGCGCGTTTTAATCGATTAACAGTCGACCGCGTACTTTTCGCTTTGCTCTACGAAGCCGCGTCAACGATCGAACTCTCGTCAATAATAAACGTCGCGGAGTGGTATGCGTTCCGATCGCGAAACACGAACGATATCAGGAAGAGTAGACACTGTGTTCGACGTAGATGAGTAACGGTAAACTTGAAAGAGACTGCGACCGTAAAGCTTCGAACGCGACTTGGGCATCGTTAGGAAGAATTTGTTTGTGACGACAGGTGATTGCGGATTGTTAGTCGGTCGCTCGAGCCTCGTTCCTTCCAGACAGCTGATAAAGCGATTAACGTTGCTCGTTCGAGGAAGTTTCTCGGTCGATCGAACTTTCTCCAGCGTAAAAGAGCGTACCGGTCGCGAGGCGTTGTCACCTGTTTCGTCGTCGATCTCACGGGCGCGGTATCGCGTGCGAAAAAAGCCTGGTTGGAAACAGCACGTACCATAATTGCGGCGTTTTTGGCCGGCTGCGCCGTAGATCCGAAAGGAGGCGAGCGGTCCGGCAAGACGTCGCGTCGGTTGGTTACTCGTGTATGCTCGAACACGCCTAGGAGCGTTTACGGGCCTAGAAGTAGCCTCGATCGCCGCGTCAGACGACCGTCTCCATGACCACAGAAGCGGCGGACGTAAACACGTAGCGGGATACAGGCGTGCTTCGATCCTCCTCCACGTCTTTCACCGTTTGCGCCCAACTTGTGCACGCGCTTCCGTCGCGATCTCCTCAGGCCTGTTGCGCATCCTGACCGGCTTACCAGCGACGACTGGCTCGCCAAAATTCCCCCGAACGTGCACTTGGAAACGCGCGTGTTGCAAACGCAATGCGCGGTCGGGCGTACGTTAAGTCGACGTCGACAGGCACCTCGAGCACCGAACGACGCGCTGCCGTGGTATGCAGCTCCCGCTCTCGCGTGGGTTCCCTTTATAACAGGGGACGCAACTCCGAGCGCAGGGCCGAAGCATCAGGGGCGCTCTTTTCTCGCTCGCCAATTTCAAATTTCACCAGAAATACCGCCCAACGTTTACGCGATAAGAACGTTTGTTCCGTTGCAACCTTAAGTCACCGATAATTGGATTTACGCATCGAGGAAACCAATTTTTACATTTTAAAGTAATTTTCGACGTTCTTTTCGGTTTAAGGCATTCTGCATCGTTTCTATCGTTTATGTTTAGCACAAGGCAATATTAGTTTCCCACGGACACGAGGAAATGTCTTATCTAAAAAGTTTCGAACAACAAATAAAAGATAAAAAACCGTTCGTCCATCGATCGATCGTTGTGCAAAGATTAGAATTTAAATTATAGAACGAAATAATTTATAATCAACAACTGCAAATTCAACTGTTCCGTGATCGAATAAAATTTTACTCTATAATTTTACATCAACATCGTTTTTTATTGTTCAAAGTGAATTTATGACGAATCAAAGATTCAGTAGTTTTAGCAACTGATAGTTTTTATGTAAATGAATAATATTTCGTTAATCTTTTTTCACAAGATCATCGTTTAAAGTTGTATCGCGAAATTTTGAAACATTTTGCGTCAGTTCATTTATAGTGTATGTTAATGATTTCGTTCGGAATATATGACTTGGTATTTGGATAAGTAATCGAGTTGATGTTTTACAAACATCGACTGTTCGTATAGAAGCGTACTTGTACGCCTCGCGTACAATCTTTATAGACTCTACTTGGATCCTAACGTCTGTTGCGCACACAAGGTCGCGCATTCATGTTTACGCATCGATGTGTGCAACGTGTGCCTGCACGTATACAAAATCTACGCGGGAGAAAATACGCCGCCCAGTGAATGAGACTGTATAGTTTCAGTGCCGTAAACGGACGAAACGCGCCTTATGCGCGCGACAATGTTTACACGGTATTAAAAGTTTCGTGCAATTTAGAAATAACGCGAGTACTCTTTTTAAAAGAATGCAAATAAAACGTACCTGTCTATTAAAACGTTTAGGTTTATGGTTATAGTTTGAAAACACGTTTTTCGTTAAACTCGTTTAACCCAGGATCGATAGGGTGAAATGCAACATAATTAATAGAACACGCTTACGAAAGAAACGGTGTAGATGACAGCTATAACTAATCGAACGCGACGCTTTGAAAGTATAGTGTAAATCGCATTCTACCACCCTATCGATCGAAAGATGGTAGTCGTTGAAAAGTAGAAGATATTCGGTGTATTTGGATGTTTCCTTTTTAACAAAATAAACAAAAATCGATAGAATCGATGGGAAAGAGAATGGAAAAGAGTTTGCGATCGAGATGGATGCCTTTAGATGCACGGCAGGTGTCTAACTTATAACGTGTAACGATATCGAACGAGCAATAGAATGGAATGCAGTATAGTGCATTGTGTTGCATAAAAAACAAATCGCAGATGCTTCTGAGTAGTCGCGTAAAATGCAACGCTACGGTAGATGCATCTTTCGATCTGATTCTCCGATCAATTTTCAAGATTTCTACCAATGTTGCTTCGTCTCGTTAACTTTCTTCAGAAAATTCAGAAGACTTTGTTTATATATTCATTTATAAACGGATATAAAACCTATTAGTGCGCAATGAAGGGAGTAGAAATTGACATAGAAGCTCGTGAAATATTTAGGGTAATTTTGCGATTCAGGCAACTTGTATACTTCGTCTGATCGATTAGAAGGGGTATCGTAGGTTGCAACGTTGTCTTCGAAGAATTCTCCGGCTGGAAAGGAAATACTTGTCGGGATTGTCGCTAGATGGCGAAAGGTACTTGCGAAACCCTCTCACCCCTAAAAGCAATCTCCATCTCGCGAACAGCTGTTCTGTACCGCCATGGCGCACGCGACTTTGTGGCATCGTAACCGCTCTCGACATTTTCGGCTTTATCGGTTCGAGACGATGTTTACGTGTCCCGTATCGATGCATTTCGCGGTGAACTTTCGGTCGTCGAACGATTTTTGCGTGTAACGAGTGCGGGAGAAATGCGTTCGTATGCTGTGTCAAAGTGAGAATTCGACAGATCTTTTACCCCTGCCCGAGGCTCACCGGTTTGGTTGTCGTATTTCGGAGTCGAACGACGCAAGGTAAGTATTATCGTTTTATATTCTTTCTACTTGTCTACAAACATAACTTTCGACGAACGAACCGACCATCGATCGATTTTCACACGCGTCTCTATCCATTTTAAACCCGATATTTGAAAACAGTATCCATACATATGATCTTGAACGATAACGTTTACGATTGCAATTAGGTTTCGAACGTATAGCGAAATCGGTGGTGTAATCGAGTGATTTTTGCTTTTCAAGCTTTTACGAGTCGAACGATCGACGAATATGGTACGAAAGTAACGTTGTCTGATTTTTTATTTTATCAACGGTGTTTTCGTACACGTATCATTTCTAGAAACATCTGTGCTTTCGTACAATTGTTATCGCGCGAGGGTTAAAGAGCAGATCGAATGCATATCGTAGTCAAGGATCGATATTTTCTGCAATTCCGTTGATTTAAGAAAGTAATGTAACCGAGTGAATTGCACGAGTAAATAAATGTTAATGATAACGCGCGTTCTTTAGCCTGTTATCGGGATTCTTGGATTTGGACGTCAGGTGGCAGCACGCGATTAAGTTTGAATTAATAGAAAGTCTTCGGCGCCTGTTTCGTTCGATCGATCGTTATCGTTGCAATAAAAAACCTCAATTTTGTCTCATAGTTTTAATTAGTGTTCATTTTTGTACTTGATCCGATCGATAATTGTAAACAAATATCGGTAACGTCCATTTAGAAATAAACAAACGATCTAGTCGAACGTAAAATTTTCGTCGTTGGATCGCGGTCGATCTTGGCGTAGACTATAGACCTTGACCAAGGGAATAAAAATTTTTCTTTCTCGTTTCTTATTCGTTAATTGATTTTGAACGAAGAAAGAAAGAAAATACGAAAGAAACGTGTAATCGCGTTGTGTGATGGAGTAATTTGAACCACGTTACGATCTTTGTCTGGTTTTCATGATATAACGTAGAAAACAATTTCGATGGACGAGCAAGATCCGTTTCGAAATGAATCCGTTTCATTTAATATAGGTAGCCCTTCTACAACACGGCATCCTATAACAAAATTCATAAATTGTAAGAACTCTCCTACAACACGGCATCTTATAACACGATAAGAAAATTGCGGAAACCTTTGTACAACACTGTACTTGTACAGCACTGGATAACATGATTTTTGCTTAACATATTTAAAAACTAAATTACCTTAAAATAATGAACTATAGTGGCTTTACATGAAAATATATAAACAAATTATAATTTATTAAATTAAGGTTGCGTTAAATTAAAATAATATTTTTTTATTTTTTCTTTTTGTTTTGTGTTATACATACATTTATATTTTTCATAAACATTAAGTTGCTTATGTAGAATTAAAAAAAATATTTGTTTTTAATCAATTTTCGGAATGTAACCCCACTTTTTGTACTGGCTTTGGGTCTCATATAACACGGTTACACACAACACGGCATTTTTTAGGAACCTATCTACCGTGTTATAGGAGGGTCATCTGTACATACGAAAAGTAAGAAACATGGAAAGTATTATTCGGTCACCCATGGGAAAAATTTTAATGGGGGATTCTAGGAGCCAACATAAGACGAAAATCAAGAATACCAATTTGTTGATGGAGGCTTCGTTAAAATGTTATTAACAATTAAATTCAAAAATTTCAATTCGTTCTGGAAAAATTATTGTCGGTTGCGGGGGTCAATTATAATCATTTTTGGTGAATACACATACCTTCGAAATCCTATCCATTTTTGAGAAAAAAAATCGGGTAAGTGCTGAAATTTTTCGGCGAAAAAAAAATTTCAAATCGTTCTAAAAAAATTATTTTTGGTTGCGGGGGTCAATTATAATCATTTTTGGTAATTGCACATACCCCCGAAATCCTATGCACTTTCGAGAAAAAAATTCTGTACCAAAAATCGAAGTAGGTGCCTAAATTCGACGAAAAAAAAAATTTCAAATCGTTTTGGAAAAATTATTTTTGGTTGCAGGGGTCAATTACAATCATTTTTGGTGAGTAGACATACCCCCGAAATCTTGCGTATTTTGGAGGAAAAAATTCAGTACAGGCGGAACATTAAACGTTAATAACTTTTTAACGAAGCCTCCATCAACAAATTGGTATTCTTGATTTTCGTCTTATTTTGACCTCTAGAATCCCTCATTAAAATTTTTCCAAGGGGTGGCTGAACACCCTGTATAGTTTCATTTAAAAAACGAAACTTAATCATCATATCTTTTAAATTAATAACATAAACAAAATTTTCGTTTACGCCAAAATAGAGATCCTATTTTATCCTGCGATTTACATATAAACAATTTTTTCGTATCATCAATAGTTATTAAAATATCGCGACTGTCACACTTTAGCGTGGACACCCTGTATATCGTGTGCGTAGGAGGAAGCACGAAGATTCGTACGGTCCATAGTCGAGTAAAATTACGCTAAACATATGCAGCCGCGGGACTGGCTGGTCTGGCTGGCGGTCATTTTCTGCAGTTACCGCCAGCACGCGTTGTTACGAAGCGTTCTCCTTTGAGCCGTACACGGCCCTTCAAGTGCATTAGGTGACGGTGAAAAATGATTTCGTTACACGAGACGTATTATTCAGCTGCACGGACGTAACGTTATTAGTCGGACACGGAAGTAGGAAGTTGCCGCGTATCGTTAGGAATGCGAATCACTCGAGCAACGATTAAATGCTCGCGAGGCAAATGCAGCTGGCGCGAAATTAAAAAAACACCCAATTCGATCTTGAATTCGCTTTCATTGTTGTTTAATTGATCGGGTGTTTGGAAATTTTCGAGACACGAACACTCGCGACGCG